GGCCTCCCTGGTGGCACAAGGAGTTAAGTACTGCACTATAAAGTTATCTGCAGCCTCTGCAGCACTAGTTCGATCTCCGGCTTGCCAGGGAGCTACCCACATGACCCAGCAGACCTCTCCTGTCTTTGCCTGCTGCTCCCCTCAGCAGTGTATTTCAATCAGTCTGCCTGTTCTGTTCACCACTCTGTCTCTGGTGACTCCTTTCACCCCCCACACCTCTGGCCTATACCCCAGATCTTGTATGCATAAATAAATAAATCTTTATAAAAAGTTTAAATAAACCAGGATCAAACACTGATTCCAACTGTAACATCCTGATGTCAAATTTATTGTTTACTGATTTCATTGGGGGAAAAAAAAGTAGAGCATATTTACTTTATAGTTCCCTCTTCCTGGGCTCATCCTTCAAGGTGAAGAGGGCAGCCAAACTTCCAATATTGTTAAATTTACAAAGAGAATACTCCTTTCATTTTCAAATATGATCTTTTCTGGCATATCTTACTGATGCCAACCAAGCTTATTAACTAGATTTATGCATTAATGAAAAATATATTTTCAGTGTGGAAAACATGGAAATGTAATGTTACTCTGGTACATATCTGCATGCAGTGTACCCCAGCATATACTAAAGCATGCACGCACACACATACATACAAATGCACACATATACAAATGTACACAAATATACAAACAGTACAGCTGTAGAGTACTAAAATTGTTTGAGACATTACCTTTCATGTGTCATGATAGGTTTTAATTGATTTTCCATGACTATGATAATAAATTGGTAATAATGCACTTTAAAATTTTTATTTTATATATTTTTACATCATTTTTCATTTTTGTAAAATGTAAGCATTTTCATCTTGGTTTTAGTCCCCATAAAATTCCCACCACCCTTGTTTTGATCCTACTCCCTTATCCCCACCCCCCGTAGTGTGTCTCTGATTAATAGTTGCCTGTTGATTTTGATTTTTACTTTATTATAATTAGTCTTTTTCCTGATCCTTTATTTAGGTTTTCTAAATTCCTGCTATGAGTGAGAGCATCCGGTATTTTCTTTTTCTTTCTGACTTATTTCACTGAGAATGATCCCCTCCAGCTTCACCCATGTTGCTGCAAGCGGCATGAGTTTATCTATTTTGATTGCTGAATAATATTCCATTGTGTATATGTACCACATCTTCTGCTGCACCATGTGGGTAACTCCCTGGCCAGGAATCAAACTCGTGCTGCAGTGGCTGCGGATAGCTTCATAGGTTGCGTCTTAACCCCTTGCGCCACCAGGGAAGCCCTGTACCACATCTTCTTGATCCAGTCATCTATTTTTGGGCATTTGGGTTGTTTCCATTGCTTACCTATTGTAAATTAGTGCTGCAATAAACGTAAGTGTGCAGGTGCCCATTTGAATTAATGTTTTTGTGTCTTTTGGGTAAATACCTAGGAGTGGAATTGCTGGATCACATGGAAGCTCCATTTTAGCAGATTGAGGAACCTCCACATAGCTCTCCATAGTGGTTGGACCAGTTTGCACTCCCACCAGCAGTGCAGGAGAGTTCCTTTTTCTCCACATCCTCACCAACATTTGTTGTTGCTAGTTTTTTTTTTAATATGTGCCATTTTCACTGGTGTAAGATGGTATCTCATTGTAGTTTTGATTTGCACTTCCCTGATTACAAGTGATGTTGAACATTAATAATGTACTTTTAAAAAAAGATTTATTTATTTATGCATACAAGAATAGGGGTACAGACCAGAGGCGTGGGGGGTGAGAGGATTCACAAGAGACCGAGTGGGGAACAGAACAGGCAGATTGACTGAAATACACTGCTGAGAGGAGCAGAGGGCAAGCCAGGAGAGGCCTACTGTGCCATGTGGGAAGCTCCCTGGCCCGGGATTGAACTCATGCTGCAGTGGCCACGGATAGCTTCATGGATTGCGTCTTAACCCCTTGCACCACCAGTGAGGACCCTAATAATGCACTTTTAAAGAAAAGACATAAATATCAATCCTTTGGAGATGCCTTTAAATTCAGTGCTTTCCCACTAAAGTACTGATAAAGTAATATAGGAAACAAATAGTAGATACTGGCACATGGATCTCTGGGCCTGTTGCAAATCACGCATCTCCATGTACTGAAAGGGCATAAGGAATTTCTGATCCTTCCCCCAGGCATATTCTAGCAAAACATGTAGATTGCTGACTTGTTTATGAAGATTTTCAGGACTCATAACTAGTCCGTTTATTTTACTAAGTAAGAATTTTGATCCTACTATGACCCTGCCTGATAGGGAAACCAGTGTTCCAGATTGCTGCATAAACATCCTAGTCGTCTTGTCAGGACACCAATAGGGCAGGTTTAAAAGCATAGGCACTTATCAGCTCACCTTCTCATTCTGTTCTCTAAAACTCAACTTTTGAGTTGCTGTTAGCTAGAAAATTTCCTTTGAAAACTCAATTATCTGTGTATGTTTGTATTAGCAAGTTGAGGAGTGACTGAATAAAGATATAAAGTCAGCCTCAGTTGCTCAGAGGACTCTCTTGATAACCTTTAAGGGAAATCAAAATGATTCTTCCTACAAGCACATCCTGCATCCTGTGACCTACTTAGACAACTGTAAATTAACCTTACTTGTGAGGTGGAAAGATATATCAGTTTGGAATGCATTGTCTTTAATGAACAGAAAACCCAATTACAGTTGCTTAATCACATAAGGGTTTATTTATATCATGCAACATAAAGCCTGGAAGATAATAATGTGGAATTGTTGCATCAATTTAACATCCTTATAAGAAATCTAAGGACTTTTCATTTTACCACACTTAGTATATAGACCTTTGTTTGATGGTATTCATCTCATGGTTACAATTTTGCTGCTTCAATTCAATACCCATGTTAGAAAAAGGAAAATAGACTAAAGATATTCACTGGTTTCAGAAATTAGAACATGGATACTTTGTGGACACGTTATTCTCCCTACCACAGCCCACCCTCCACCTTCAGGTCTCCAGTGATTCACATCCACCCTACATAAAAATACATATATCCCAAGTCCCCAGAGATCTCACTTCATTACAGTATCAACTAAGTTCATAATTTCATCTAAATCTCATCAACTCAGAAATTCCAACTTTCATCATCAAATTTTCTAAATTAGGTATGGGTGAGATGTGGCTATTAATCCTCACATAATTCCTCTGCATCTGTGGATCAGTGACACTGAAGAAACTACTTTCCATACTGTACAATGATGGTCAGGGTAATAGTTACAGACAATCCAGTTCAAAAAGAGAAAATGGAAAGTGAAATGGTGTTACTTGCTCCAGAAATATAGAAATACTGCCAGGAAAACTATTTGCTTTCAAGGCCTGGGTTTGAAGCTTCCTCCTCAGTGTTACAAGTTTTGTCCTCTAAGTCATCCTCCATTTTTAATGAGAAGTTGTATGTGTTTTCAGCTAAGTAGTTCTGTTTTCTTTTTAATCCTGTGTTAGTTTTTAGTAAAAAAAAAAGTTACCAAAAAAAAAAAAAGTTACCATCCAAGTCTATCATATGATACTATGGGGTGAGTCATATCTCCTTTCTCATGGCTAAGAATTGGTCAGGACCATTTGTTTTTTCCTATTTCTTTTCCATTCCCTGCTTTTAAGTCTCACAGCAATCCTTTAAGTATGTCTTCACTAGCAGAGTTGCTAACAACTTAGCAAAAGAGATGAGTAACTTTGTGAGGATATTATGGTTGTTCTAACAAAATTTTCTTTCTTCATATTTTTTTCCCACTCATGGCCTAAATCCAAAGGTTGTAGACATTGCATTTGGAGGACCACAGTCTCATAAATTAAATTGTTTCAAAATAGGCCAGGAGATATTTGGACCTAAGTAGTTTTTAATCAGTCTGTTTCTTACTTATAGGATTTGGGGTACAATAGCATTCTCTTATTTAATTCTCTGTTCCTTTCAGTTCAAGCTAATATTTCTGCTGGTATGGCATTTCACAGAACCTTCTGAGCTCCTTGTGTGAGTCCCATTGCAATACATAACATTACAGGTTCCAGGGATTAGAATGTGGACATTTTTAGGGGACAGAATTCTGCCCACCACACCATTCTATAGCATCTGCAAAATTAAAAAACCCCTGGTGGTAGAGGATTCTGACAACAGACCTGATTATTTCTTCAAATCATACAACCGTCTCACTACCATACCCTTTAAAGAATAAGTCTTCCTTGGTTAACTATAACTCCAACTATTTATTGTCTTTCAAAGTCAACTAGAACAAGGTCATACAAAGGCAAGTAGATTTGTGGCATGCTGTGCCATCAAAAACTCTGCTAGGCCCATAAATTGGAGCTCACTTGAGAATTTTTCACCAATAGCACAGGGTAATTGCAAGTAATGTATTACTTGGTCCTAGAGTCTACTGACCTTGAGTATATAGGCACACTGTAAAAACTGTCAATCTCAGTATTAGTAGTCTGTTCAGGACTCCAAGCAGAATCCTAACTTCAGTTAGATATAAGGAAGACTCATAAGTCTTTCAGTATTTTTAAACTAGAAGAGTAGATGATAAATATTAGAGTGAGTCTAATGATTAACGGTGTGACTTTAAAATAAATATCATGAAATGATACACATTGCTGCCTAGTGGTGAGATGAACTTTCAAAGTTTGGAAGAAACTGAACATGATAAGTAATAATTATTCCATCCTAGACAGAAAAGCGTTGTAGAAAAGTCATAGCTGTGTAAATAATAAAAACTGAAAGTCTTTTAATTTCAAAATAAAGTGTGATAAGAAATCAGGCATCTTTTGTCATATGTGACAAATTTTAAATTTAGAGGGGGCCTCCCCTGGTGGTGCAAAGGTTGAGCGCTGGGCTGCAGGGCTGCCCACAGCCTCTGCAGCGCCAGTTCGTTCCCAGGAAGCCGGCGAGGGTCCCACACACACAAAAAAAAATTTAATTTAGAATTTTAAATTTTAAAATTAGAGTGATGTATTTGAGAAGTTAACTTACATATTGTCCTTTAGAAATGAGTACTAAAAATTTAATCACAATTATGACATTTCCTGATAGAAATTTTTACTAACAATACCTTATTTAGTAAAATAATTACAAGGCAACCAGAATATAAAACAAAGAGTAAGATTATTAAAGAAAATAGTAGAGTTAAAAGAAAAGCAATTAGAATTAAAGATTACTATAGGGTTGAAAGAAGAAACGTAAAGGTGAAGGAAACAAATAATGTAGGCAGTGGGAAAGTTCCAGATAGCTAAACTATTCTGGAAGATTGGATTTTACAGATTTTCTCCCAAAGTCTTGACCTACATATTAGGGAAGACAGGCTTCAAGAACTTGAACTCGTTGGTCCCTGAGCCCCCCGTCAGGCACACCTCATACTGGTAGCTGTGGGACAGCGTCCGGCGCCGCCCACGTCCACCAGGCGGCCCGGGAAGGGGCCGTCGGGCCCCAGCGAGCCCGCGCGCGCGCCGGCCCCGCGCCTCCCGCACAGGCGCGCGGCCGCGAAGGCGAGCGCGCACAGGAGGAAGAGCGACGACACGGCGGCCAGCGCCACCACCAGGGACGCGGTGAGGCGGTCGGCCTGCGCGCGGGCGGCGGCGCGTCGGGCGGCGGCAGGTAGGGCTGCGAGAAGCCGTCGACCAGCAGCACGTGCAGCGTGACGCTGGCCGACAGCGGCGGCTCGCCGTTGTCCTTGACCAGCACGACCAGCCGGTGCTTGGGCGCGTCGCGCTCGCCCAGCGGCCTGGCGGTGCGCACCTCGCCGTTGTGCGCCCACACGCCGAACAGCCCGGGCTCCGTGGCCCTGAGCAGCTGGAACGACAGCCAGGCGTTCTGGCCCGCGTCGCCGTCCACCGCCACCACCTTGGTGACCAGGTAGCCCGCGTCGGCCGCGCGCGGCACCAGCTCGGGGCAGGGCGCCGAGGCGTTGGGCGGCGGGTAGAGCACGGAGGGCGCGTTGTCGTTGGCGTCCTGCACCACGACGCGCACCCGCGCCTGGCCGCTGAGCGCGGGCGAGCCGCGGTCCGTGGCGCCCACCAGGAAGTCGAAGGCGCGCAGCGCCTCGTAGTCGAGCGAGCGCAGCGCGAACAGCTGGCCGGTGTCGGCGTTGACGGCCACGAGCGCGGCGGGCGGCGGGTGCGCGCGGCCGGCGGGCAGCAGCGAGTAGGTGAGCTGCGCGTTGGAGCCCGCGTCGGCGTCGGTGGCGCGCACGCTGCCGATGTGCAGCGCGGGGCTGTTGTTCTCGCGCACCAGCAGCGTGTAGGCGCTCTGGCTGAAGGCGGGGGCGTTGTCGTTCACGTCGGACACCAGCACGGTGATGTGGTGCTGGGTCCTCAGCCTGGGGGTCCCCAAGTCCGTGACGGTGATCGTGATGTTGTACTCGGCCTGCCTTTCTCTGTCCAGCGCCGCATTTGTTACTAGGGTATAGAAATTCTCTTGAGATGGTTTCAGGAAGAAGGGGAGATCATCCTGTATGAAGCAAATCATCCTCCCGTTGTCCCCTGAGTCTCGGTCCCGAATCCTAAACAAAGCCACTTCGGTCTCAGGGGAATTTTCAGGAATAGGACTGGTAAGTGATGAAACAGTTATTTCTGGGAAGTTGTCATTAATATCTGTTACCTCAATGGAGACAGAGCATTTTCCAGAAAGCCCCCCACCATCAGTTGCCTCTATATCCAGCTCATAGGAGGATTTTGTCTCAAAATCTAGTTGTTTAATAAGTCGAACTTCTCCTGAAAGACTGTTCAGCTCAAAAGTTGTGCTTAACTCCTGTGAACTATAAAAAAGGGAGTATGCTATCTCTCCATTTGTCCCAGTGTCTAAATCATTAGCAGACACCTTGACAACCAGCGCCCCCACAGGGCTGTTCTCTGGGACTCGCACCTGGTAGAGCCCCTGTGCACACTCAGGGGCATTGTCATTGACATCCAAAACTGAGATGTGGACCTGGGCGGTGCCAGATCTAGGTGGAGAGCCGCCATCCAGCGCTGTGAGGGTTAATTTGAATTCTGCCTGTTCCTCTCTATCCAGCTCTTTGTCCAGGACCAGCTCTGGGTATTTCCTACCATCCCCCCGATTGCGGGTGAAAACATGGAAATGAGAGTTGGGGCTGATATTGTAGTTTTGGATGTTGTTGTTGCCCACGTCTAGGTCTTGGGCTTTTTTCAAAGAAAACACAGTGCCAGGAGCGCTGTTCTCTGGAATTTTCACCGCCATATCTCTTTCAGGAAACTCAGGAGAATGATCGTTTATATCTCTTACTAGTAGCTCAGCTTGAAATACTCCCATTGGTTTTTTCAGTAACACTTGGAAATGCATTATGCAAGGATCGGTGGGGCCGCACATTTTCTCCCGGTCCAGTTTCTCATTTAATATCAACTCCCCAGTCTGCAGATCAAGCTGCAAGGCGAGCTGGTTATCCTCAGAGACCACCCGGGCGCCCCGTGCAGCTAGCTCCTCCACTCCCAGCCTCAGGTCCTTGGCCAGGTTGGCCACTAAGGAGCTGCTCTCTGTTTCCTCCATCACGGAATAGCGGCGGGATTCCCAACCTGCCAGAGCCTCTCCCAGCAAGAAACAAAGAATAAAGACTTGCCTTTGTTTAGGAAAGCTCTCCCCTTTGGTATCCATCTTTACTTTCTGCAAGCAACTTTCCAGAAACAGTGGCTAGTTCTGTCTTAGTGCGCCAGGGGACTGAGACAGTGAAGGATCTCTCAGTCGGTAACCTCTCCGGAAATGTCGATGGGCAGCATTTGCTAGAGACTTACTGGTCTTGAGCTCAGCTCACAGACTTTCCTCGGGCTAGAGATCTGAGATAGAGCTCCTCAGAGCTGACTTTTTTGGTTTTTGACGCCTTAGCCTGCAGCGCCACCATGCGATATTTTAGAGAATCACAGCAAATGTATTCTCTATAAAGACGCCAGTTATTCGGAGTTTGGAATTGGTTTGGGGAGAGATGATGTATTCAGAAAACCATGCAACTACAATTTCTCATTCCTTCATTCAAAGAAATATTAATATCTGTTACTTAGTTCTGCAATACATCAGTTAACAACTCAGACATAATCCCTACCATCTAAAGCTTGTGTCTGGGTGGGTGCTGTGAAAATTGAGAAGTGAAAGAAGAATTAATAATGATCAGTAATGTAATCTTATAAAAATAATACATAACACATAAATAACACAATTGTGTTATTTCTTAAATGTTTCTCAGCAAAAACGAATGAATTCTTCTAGATTGCCTTTCAAATTCTAGGCAGTCTATATTCCAGAATTGTGGTTCCAATTATTGGAATTATATCAAAGAAAAAGTTAACCATTAATTTCAGTGTAGGATACCATTTCTATGTAAGATTAGAGTTAGGTTTTATGAAATGGGAAAGTGCATATGAGGGCACTACCTATGTCTTTTACCCTGCTTATTCTCCTTAGCACTGATCACAACCTGCTATCGCTTAAGGTGCATATTTAATAGTTTCTTGTCTGTGTCATCCTGGAGTTCCAGAACTATATTTTGTTTTACATCCCTCTAGAACTTCTAGTCCCTCACACACATCAGATGCTGAGCAAATGTTTGTTGGCTAGATCAATTTATAAATCACAATCTTAAAATTATGATAGATTTTCCTCTTAATATAGGAGCTCCCATTTTTGTTGGTATCCTAGTTCATTATATGAGCTGGATAAACAAGATAGCATGTTCCCATATAGCTATAGCCTATGCTCTTTTAAAATAGTATTTTTAATAATTCAGAATGAACTAAAATGTTTCTTCATTAACTACAGAGTTTTAAAAAGAAAGCACATGACAAGACTATAATGATCCTACAAATAAGAACACATTCTACATTGCCAGTGTTATTTCACATTAAAGCTATTGTGATAGTAATAAACATTTCCAAAACTCTTGTAGAGTTTTCTAACAATTTCTCTTAAATACTCTCAAGACTATATAATTTGGGAATATCTATAAATTTTTCTGAAAATTATATATTCTAACAAAAGCTTGTGCTTGTCACTATATGGTACTAATAGTCCACAGACTTTTTATTCCAGATATTATTAATACAAGCCATAATTTTAAAAACCTCAAATTGATAGTAAGGGCTATCCATGCAAGAATATCTATACATATTTTTGACAACAAGGGGGAAAATCCATTTGTTTATCTTAACCTGAGTGAAATTTATTTAGAGAGTACATTTTGTTTCCAAAAACCCAAGGGAGAATGCAGATTTGGGAGCAACTGGAAAATCTACAACAAGGCTGCTCTTTAAGGCATCTCAGTACTTCTTGTCTCTAAGTGGATTTACTTTCTGTGCTTCTTTCCATGTATTTAGTTAACACGATATCACTTTCTGGTTAGTTTCTTATAGAGGTACTATTTTATATCTGGTTTATAAAGTATATTTTAAGACAGATCAGTATATCTAACACTTTGCCTGACTGAAATCACAGAGGGAGAAAGGTTATATTGGGTTGACATATTTTTTTCCTATATTTCTCAAGGAAAAATGCATCATGACTCTTCTGACAACCTAATATATATATTATACACACCATTATGTACACCATTATATTATACACACCATTGTACACACCATATATACATTATATATAATGTATATATTATACATTTAAAATGTATTTTATTTTATTTTATTTTTTTAAAGAATGTGATTTTATTTTATTTTTTTAAAAGAGGTATGTATTTTTATTTATTTGTTTGTTTGTTTGTTTATGTATACATGCACTGGGTAGTCAGAAGTGCGGGAGGGTGAGAGAATTCACCAGAGCCAGAGCGGGGAGCAGAGCAGGCAGAAGAACTGAAGCACACTGCTGAGGGGAGCAGCGGGCGGCAGGGGAGGTCTGCGCGCCATGTGGGACCCTCCTCCGGTGGCCAGAGAGCAGCCGGGGATCGAACCGGTGCCGCAGAGGCCGCGGGTAGCTTCGCAACCCAGCACTCAACGACTGCGCCACCGGGGAAGCCCTAAAATGTATTTTAAACACATTTATTTTAAATGACTGCAACAGTACCTTCCAACTGATGAAAAGAGGAGTTTCTAGGAAAAGATGGGGTGCGGGATAGAGATCACGTATCTATTACTTAAATATCATGAATAACCTGATAATATTTCAATGATATTCATAAATATTGAAAGTCTATATTAAGAGAGAAAAAGCCACTAAGTATGGGGTAAAATACACTGTTTAATAAAAGTTTAACACTACAATGAAACAAAAACCATGCAAATTTTGTAGACTTTTATCCATTAAAAAGGTTAAGAATGGCAAGCATAATGTCCAATTGAACATAAGATATGCTCATAATTTATAGTATTTGCATCATGCTTTTCTCTGAAGTAACCACAAGCATCAAAACTTTAAGAAGAGTTTTGGAAAACAATGGGACTGGAGTAATTTTCAAATCAATGGCTTTTGACTTTGAAAAATTGATAAATTGAACAAATATTCATGATTTTTTCAATAATAAAGTCAAGTTGAAGGTTATATTGTCTATATCAAAATGGAAATGATAAAAATACAGAGTATGTAAGTGTATAAACAAGGACAATTTCTAATCTCCCCACTAGAAAATGAAATCAGGAGGGAAAAAAAACAACCACCCAAGAAATTACATTTGAGCCAGAAAAGGTAATGAGAACTTAGAGTATTAGGTAAGATTGACCCTTCATCCTGCATGTTCTAAAATCAACAAATTCCTAATAGAACCCAAAACCACTTACAAAGTTTGAGTTTTCCTCCACATCATTGACAGAACTCTGGTGTGCAGGGTCAACGGACTTCAGAAACTTGAACTCGTTGGTCCCTGAGCCCCCCGTCAGGCACACCTCATACTGGTAGCTGTGGGACAGCGTCCCGGCGCCGCCCACGTCCACCAGGCGGCCCGGGAAGGGGCCGTCGGGCCCCAGCGAGCCCGCGCGCGCGCCGGCCCCGCGCCTCCCGCACAGGCGCGCGGCCGCGAAGGCGAGCGCGCACAGGAGGAAGAGCGACGACACGGCGGCCAGCGCCACCACCAGGGACGCGGTGAGGCGGTCGGCCTGCGCGGCGGGCGGCGGCGCGTCGGGCGGCGGCAGGTAGGGCTGCGAGAAGCCGTCGACCAGCAGCACGTGCAGCGTGACGCTGGCCGACAGCGGCGGCTCGCCGTTGTCCTTGACCAGCACGACCAGCCGGTGCTTGGGCGCGTCGCGCTCGCCCAGCGGCCTGGCGGTGCGCACCTCGCCGTTGTGCGCCCACACGCCGAACAGCCCGGGCTCCGTGGCCCTGAGCAGCTGGAACGACAGCCAGGCGTTCTGGCCCGCGTCGCCGTCCACCGCCACCACCTTGGTGACCAGGTAGCCCGCGTCGGCCGCGCGCGGCACCAGCTCGGGGCAGGGCGCCGAGGCGTTGGGCGGCGGGTAGAGCACGGAGGGCGCGTTGTCGTTGGCGTCCTGCACCACGACGCGCACCCGCGCCTGGCCGCTGAGCGCGGGCGAGCCGCGGTCCGTGGCGCCCACCAGGAAGTCGAAGGCGCGCAGCGCCTCGTAGTCGAGCGAGCGCAGCGCGAACAGCTGGCCGGTGTCGGCGTTGACGGCCACGAGCGCGGCGGGCGGCGGGTGCGCGCGGCCGGCGGGCAGCAGCGAGTAGGTGAGCTGCGCGTTGGAGCCCGCGTCGGCGTCGGTGGCGCGCACGCTGCCGATGTGCAGCGCGGGGCTGTTGTTCTCGCGCACCAGCAGCGTGTAGGCGCTCTGGCTGAAGGCGGGGGCGTTGTCGTTCACGTCGGACACCAGCACGGTGATGTGGTGCTGGGTCCTCAGCCTGGGGGTGCCCAAGTCCGTGACGGTGATCGTGATGTTGTACTCGGCCTGCTTTTCTCTGTCCAGCGCTCCCTCTGTCATTAGGACGTAAAAATTCTCCACAGAGGGTCTTAGAACAAATGGCAGATTATCCTGAATGTGGCAGACCATTTTTCCATTTTCTCCAGAGTCTCTGTCTTTAATCCTAAAAACAGCCAGTACAGTCTCTGGAGAGTTCTCAGCAATGTAGTTGGAAAGTGAGGACATGATCAGTTCGGGGGGGTTGTCATTGGTATCTAATACCTCAACCCAAACCATACATCTCGCTGTAAGGCCCCCACCATCCATTGCCTGTATGTTTATTTTGTAGGACTTTACCAGCTCGTAATCAAGCAATACTCGGAGATTGATTTCCCCAGAGAAAGGATTGATTTGAAAGGTTGTTAGAATATCTTCAGAAACATCAAAAAATGAATAAGATATATCTGCATAGACTCCAGAGTCTACATCTCCTGCAGAGACTTTAGTAATTAGTGACCCTACTGGGCTGTTTTCAGGAGTCTGAGTATTGTAGATGTCCTGAGAAAACTTCGGAGCATTGTCATTCACATCCAGTATCACAATGTGTATGGTGGTTGTCCCAGACCTGGGTGGTGACCCTCCATCCAGGGCCACAAGTGTTAAATTGATCTCCTGCTGCTTCTCCCGATCCAATGCCATATCCAACACTAGCTCTGGATATATCATGCCTTCATCATTATCACTAATTTTAATATGGAAAAAGTAGTTGGGGTTGATGGTATAATTCTGGACACCATTAAGTCCTCCATCTGAATCCTGTGCTCTTTCTAGTCGAAATGCTGTTCCTTCAGCCGTATTTTCTAGTATTTTTAAGACTGTCTCTTTGTCACGAAACACTGGTGAATGATCATTTATGTCCGTGACCCTCAGCTCAGCCTGGTAAATCTGAAAGGGGTTATCCAATAAAATTTGGAAATACAGCATACAGGGCTCTGTGGGGCCACACAGCTTCTCCCGGTCCAGTTTCTCATTTGTGAGCAAATTCCCAGTAAGAGTATCCAGGAATAAGTGTTGTTTGTTATCATCAGAGACCAGCCGGGCTCCCCTTGTAACCAGGTCCTCAGTTCCTAGCCCTAGATCCTTTGCCAGATTGACCACAAATGATCCGCTCTCTGTTTCCTCTGTCACCGAATATCGCCCAAATTCAGAACCTGCCATGGATAACCCCCCAAACAGAAAGAGAAACAGGACTTGCCTTTGTCTGTTGCAGCGAAACCCTCCAGACTCCATAGCTTCTTCTGAACGGGTTTTCTGCAGTATTGATCACAGTCAGGGCTCCCAGCATAAAGAAACAGCAGTCGTAAGCCAAACAACTACTCCATGTAGTAGCAGGGATCTGAGTTTTCTGCTTTCCCAGTCGTGGGTGGGCTACAGCTTTTCTCCCGTCTGCCTGCCGCGTTCTTCCCTTTTTGTTAGGAGGCTTCCGCAGAATGCTCGGTTCAGGTCCCATCCACCCCTCTCCTTAGCCTGCAGCGCCATCGTGTGGCTTCCAACAGACGCAAATGGCTGCACCCAATATGTGTGCGCTTGTATGTATTTAAGTTGTTCTTTTGTGGCTCATTTAAATAAGTCACTTTTTAATTTTGTTTGCAAATTTTAATGTAGAGATAGAGAAGTATTCGCATTGTTAATGTTTTTCAGTGTTTCATGGGAAAAGGTAAAAATATAAACTGTTGGGAGCCTCCCTGGCGGCGAAGGGGTTAAAGTCTCAGCGCTGTCAAGTTATCGCCAGCCATTCTGGCTTGACTTCAATTCCCGGCCAGGGAGCTAACCCACTTGAACCAGCAGACCTCTCTAGTCTCGCTCGTTGCTCCCCACAGTGTATTTCTGTAGATCCACCTATTCTGCTCCCCAGGCTGTCTCTGATTAAACCACTCACTGCCCGCACCTCTGGTCTAGACCCCAGTTCTTGTATGCATAAATAACTAAAACAAATCTTTAAAAAAATTTTAAACTGTTGGAAAAAATGTTTCTAGTGGTTAACGCTATCCACTTCATTTTGTTAGTGTTATTTCTTTTACTCCTGGCACTACTTCCAAGCAGTGTCAGGTACCAAAATGAAAAATGTAATTACTAAAATAAATTTTATTTTTCCAGAAACATTGGGATAGGACCACCAAAAACTGACAAAATAAATGTTTCAAACCTTTAACAGCAAATTTCATCAAAATGCAATTACAAAAAAACGGCCAACAAGAAAAACGGACACAGCAAGCGGGACTGTGAGTGGAAAGGAACTATTGCAGCCACCACACCCCGTGAACGGGAGCTGAGGCGAACCCTGCAGGATCCTCCGCGGAGGTGAGCTCCAGGCGCCATTAAAGAGAGCCCCGCCCCCCAGGAGGAGACCAGCACCAGCACACAGCCCCGGCCGCCCGGCTGCTTGAAACTGACAGATGACTCCTGGAAGAACCAGAGGGGAACAGAGAAGCCCACCCAAGATGCCGGCCAGTCCAACAACACAGTGTCCCAACGCATACGGCAAATTAGAAAACAGACAGTAGGGAGGAGAAGAACCACACGCAACTAGCAACTCTCCAGAGAAAAAGCACACCACAAAAAGAAAACCAGCCCCCAGATTGCAAAGACAATAACTTGGAAGAATTTCTGAGCCTTCCAGAAAGAGAATTTAAAATTGCCGTGATTAAAAAACTGACAGAAGTCATAAAGGAAAACAATGATAAGGGAAAAATAATCAACGATCAGAAGAATGCAATTGAGTCCCTAGAGAGGGAAACAATGGTCAGAAGAAAGAAATTGAGTCCCTAAAGAGGGAAGTAAAAGAAATGCAGGAGATCAAAGAATTAATGGAAGAACTAAAGAATTCTGGGAAAAGCAATGAAAGCAGAATAGATGAAATGGAAGAACAAATAAGTAATCTTGAAGATACAGAAATAAAAAGAACCAAAACAGAAAAGGAAAGAGAAGTACGAAGGAAAAAGAACGAAGAAAGACTTCGGGACTATCTGACTCCATGAGGAAAGGAAATATAAGAGTTATAGGAATACCAGAAGGAGAGGAGAGAGATGTAGGAACAGAGAAAATATTCAAAGAGATAATTGAAGAGAACTTCCCAAATGTGAAGAAGGAGCTGAAAATTGATATACAAGAAGCAAGAAGAACACCAAACTTCCACGACGAAAGGAAAAATACAGCAAGACACATAATAGTAAAGCTCCCAAGAATCCAGGACAAGGAAAAAATAATGAAGCTGGCAAAAGGGAAGAAACAGATAACATTCAAAGGAAAGCCAATCAGGCTGACATCAGACTTCTCCGAAGAAACACTACGGGCAAGGAGAGAGTGGAGGGACATAGTCAACAGACTCCAAGAAAACAGATGCAACCAAGATACTCTATCCCGCAAAGCTCTCCTTCCTCTTTGAAGAAAGAATATGGACCTTCCCAGACAAAGAGAAACTCCGGAATTTCATTGCAACTAAACCCCACTCCAAAAAATACTACAAGGAGTCCTAAAGCCAGAACCTCAGAGGGACGAATAACAATGAAAGAAGGCCAAAAAAAAAAAGTATTAAAAGAATAAATAATAAAATCAAGGAAAGACAAACACAATGGCAATACAGATGTTAACATATCAATATTAACTCTAAATGTAAATGGACTAAACTCTTCAATAAAAAGACACAGAGTGGCAGCCTGGATTAAGAAACAAACCCAACCTTTTGCTGTCTCCAGGAAACACATTTAGCTACAAAAGATAAAAATAGGCTCAAAGTTAAAGGATGGAAAACAATCCTACAAGCAAATGGACCAAAAAGAAAGCAGAACAGCTATACTTATATCAGATAAAACAGATTTCAAACTCAAAAGATAAAAGAGACCCCAATGGTCACTACATTATGATTAAGGGGACAATACTTCAAGAAGAAATAACACTCATTAACATATACTCACAAACGAAGGAGCACCAAAATATTCAGACAACTGTTGTCCTCTCTGAAA